CGTACCTTCTCACAAAATTCTTCAAAGCTTTAACAAGCCTCTTTTGTAAATCCAATATAGGGAAATTATCCAGGTCACTCTCTTGGTTTGCATATCCCTTTTAAACGTTAAGATTTGTAAATCCAATATAGGGAAATTATCCAGGTCACTCTCTTGGTTTGCATATCCCTTTTAAACGTTAAGATTTGTAAATCCAATATAGGGAAATTATCCAGGTCACTCTCTTGGTTTGCATATCCCTTTTAAACGTTAAGACATCAGTCAGTTTCTTTTGTATGTCCAGTGTAGCATCTTTTTTCCATATCATTCTTGTAGCTTGGCATTTTTAAATCCAGATCACTCTCAATCTTGTCAGGTCGAATTTGTTCCTCTTCCATAACATCTTTTAAACACAGTCTATCTATAAAGGCAGACACTCTTAAAATTAACTTCTGGATGCATTATTAAAAAATGTCCTTCGATATGTCCAATGTTAAAATATTTTGCTTCATTCTATATTAGTAAGTCGATTTTGAGTGGTCTTCTCCTTTAATTGTAATCTTTAGTTCCTTCTAGTTCCCTCAGTGTCCTTTTAAAGGCACCGTCTGTGGTTTCAACAAGATAGCTTTTCCCTCATCTCCCAGAGCTATAAACCTGCCAGAGACCACTGTCTGGAGCACTTGTGGGTGATCTCAAGTCTTCTCCTTGTCTGGAAAGGAATTATGAAGAGCTGGTCTACTCACTGGTTCTTCATTTTGCTGTGGCTGTTGGCTCCACTTTTAGCAGAGCTGTCTTCACTTTGCCATTTCTTCCCTGGAAATCCCCCCCAAAATAGCAACATTAATGATGGCTTGCTGAATTTAGATATGTATGTGCACTCTGTACATGCTCTTTGTCTTGTTGATTGTAAAGCTTTTGGCGTGCTTTTGAAGAGGATGCGTCCCTTTATAGGCATCCTACATTTCAACATCAACAGGAACCAAAAGCAGTCACAGAGTGTGCATGCACACGGACGCACCCATCCTAAGCCAAACAACACACTTTTGCTTGTAGGTAAACTTAAGCATAGCAATGCCTGCACATCTACACATTCCTGCAACCCTATGTCCAACATTTCACTTGCTTTTCTTTGGAAGGCTGCATATTAAGGCACCCACCTGAAATCCAACTTCCCCACAGGAACCTTTACAATGATCACTAGTAGCTTACCTTCCAACTCTCAGGTAATAGCACAAGGAGTGAGGACGAATAATTCACCTTTTTCTTCTGTTAGGGCTGCTGGCCAGAGCACCACCTTCATGTGGTGGGTATGTGGCACTGTGCCCTGTTTGACCTAGTTGGGGCCCAGCAACATAATCACCTGCCATGTGATTGGGCCAATGATTGGGGGAGGGTGGGAAGCCATGGGAGGTATGCCACATGGATCTTATCAAGTGTTGATCTCTCAGGTGGCCTGAGCCAGGGACTCATTCCAGAAGAACTTGCTTCAATGAGGAAGTGACTGGCTCAAAATGTCACCCAGGTACATTGGCATCTTAGAGACAGCTCTCACCCCTCACCATTGATTATAGCAGTGAGTAGGCTATTGCTGGTAAACTGGAAAGAAAAGTGAGGGCCAAATTCCCTCCAAAGGAAGGAAGTGTGGGGAAGTCCAGCAAAGACTAAAGGAAGACTAATTGTCAGCAAAGGGGTGTCACCATGTCATTTGCTCTGGAGAAGACCATCTTACTTGGGATGCTAGTTGGTGGGCAAAGACATACTACTAGGCAGCTTGACAGACTTGTTACAGGTTGTCCCAAACTGGAGCAAAACAGTCTCCTCACTTTCCTCTGATTTTCTCAGGTAACAGAGAACTGAAAAGTAGCAGCCAATAGACAACCTATGCCTGAACTGGGGCCCTGGGTCCTGCTGCTACTGCTGCTAGAGAAGAAGCCATGACCAAAATCCCCTCCTTCCTGGCTGTGGCATTGTCTAATGTCCTCCGCTTGAACTGCTTCTGCTGCCAGGACCTGCAAGACTGCCTACTTCAAACAGAACCTACCTGTCCAGTTTGCACATCCTGTGTAGGGATGCTGAGGGTTTCACCCATGCAAATTTGGGGAGGAGGGGCCAGAAATCAGTACTTCTCAGCTATGGTTCTTAGCCTCAGGAGTAGCCATCTTCTGGAAATCTATAATGCATCTTCCCTCCCAGCATTTAAGAGGTCAGTAAAAACAGAACTATTTAGGAGAGCCTTCAGTGTTCAAGTTCAGTTGGGAGATACCTAACAGTAATAACAAGATTAATGTTTAATTATGTATACTTTTACAGTTTCATTATATGGTTATGTTTTGAAAGTTTATGTTGTAAACCTCCAAGAGTCCCTTGGGAGTGTGTTGATATAAAAATAAATAAATAAATCAGGAGCTCTCTCACCAGGAGACATCCCCTTGGTTCACACAGATCTGACTCTAACTTCTCCAGTTCTCCCATCAACTTTTCTAAGAAAAGAACCAAAGATAGAACTTGGCTCTGCAAGGCTGTCTCTGAACTTGAGAAGTTCACTATGACAAACAGCTTAAGCTGCCTTGGCCATGAGTTTCCACTCCCTGTGGTCAAAAAAGCAGACAGCCGACTTCTTTGCCATTCCACACATGGCCATTTGTTGTCCCTGGGAACATCAGGGGTCAGGATGGGTAGAGCTCCACCTGGTGCTGGTCTAGATCCACTTCAATTTCACACTCTGGTGGAAACCACCAGCAATCTTGCCATACACGGCACCCTCTGCACTACTTGGGATGATCTGCAGGTCCCTCCAGATCAAGATCATCCTGCACAACTAAATTCAGTTTCTGAGCAATGCAGCCAACACCAATAAACTGACAGGTTGCTATTTACACATTGGGCTCACTGTCTGTGACCACAAAGCCTCCACTGAGATTTTGCTGCCCAGAGAAGCAGCCCTCTAGCATGTAGTTCACAGACACGTTCACTTCATTTTTGAAATGAATCACATCTAGCCTCTTCTCATGAAGCAACACCTGGCTATGTTTGGGTGCTTCATCATTGGAAGTGTTGGTGCCTACAGCAGCAGGCATCCCTTCATTCTCACCCTACCACCAGCAGTCCATAGAGAAGGAGAGATTACATACTCCTCCTTGACTGGACCAAGTGCCTGAGATGAAGGGTTGGAGCTTGCTGCTCATAACGTGATGGCCTAGAAACTGGCAGACCATGAGTTCTAATCCTCCCTTAGGCACAGAACCCCAAGGGGTACCAGTTCATTGGTTTGAGTTACAGTGGTAGTAGGGATTGTTGTGAGGGCTCTAGTGGCATCTTCTAGCGTACTATCTGATGGTACTTCTCCACTCAGCCTTGGTAATCAGTCTCTAGGATTGACTGTAGTTAGTTTATTCATGATCTTATGCCTCATATCAGCTGCTATAATGGAGGGGGTGATGTTCCAGCTTCCAGTGTTGGCTGCACATCCAGTCTTTTTTTGGGGGTCTTCTTGAGTCTGGGATGTAATGTGTAGTTGGTCTATCTCAAGTTGTGAGAGCAGCTTCCTCTTCACTCATTGAAGCATTGGGTAACTAGTTGTTTCCCAGTTAGTGTGGATGTAGGTCTTCTGTCCATCCATAGTTCCCTCATACGTTCCTCTCATTAGGTCTAGTGCTGTAGTTGCATTACATCAATTCCAGGTTCTCTTGTCTTGTCCATGTGTGGTTTGTTCCAGTAGCCCACTTATCAT